TCTACATATACTATTCACCCCCTCCCCTCTCGCTCGATGAAAAATTTTTGGGTGAAAAAGCTGGAAAAGGTGTAGGAAACTGGGAACTTAAAGTGGTAGGTAGGTGTTGGGGAAGGGGGGGGGTCGTACCGAACCGTCCTTTAGGTAGGGGGGGGGTCGTACTGACACCACCATTTCACACTTCGCGATGCTGTACCCTGAATGGGCGACCTTTGGTTGTGGGTATCGCTTTTGCATAAATTCTCGTTGGAAATGATATGTTTGTTTCTTAGGACAAACGTTGAACGAGTCGGAGTTCTGCGACCGGCTTGCAGACCTACTCGGCAATGAGCGGCCGTTGTGGAACTACATTCGTCAGTGGCTTCCTTTGGCATACGATGAGAAGTGAGATTGTCTTAAATTGTCGTGTGCTCCGGTGATCAATCAGGCATGTTGAAGGGTTACTCCGGCAGATTTCGAGTTCATTGACCTGAGCAAATGTCCGGATTCGGAGTTGCTGGAAGACAGATGTGCAGAATGCATTGATGATCTGAATGCGGTTCTCGGAACACTTCCCCCAAAAAGAGGTGGACCACTTCAGGTTTGTCGCTAGTGTCGCTTTTTGTACAGAGAATTAGGTAGTCCTTTCTTTCATCTTCAACTTTTATAAGTTGGTACTTTTACTTGCGAGGTGAATCCCGTGCCATGTGGGAGGTGAACGTGTTCACAACTGTAAAATTCGTTCGTTTCATCCTCATTTCCGCACGCTTTCGTCTTTCGAATGGATGCGGAATGAGGCTGAAGCGTAATGAAACGTGGATGTCGTTTATGTCTCTCCTGTCTGTCGCGGAAAAGTGTAGAGCAACAGGTTTCTAACCAAACGAGGGAAGCGCAAACATGAAGCGCGATTTGTTTGACCTAAGTGTACAGCTGCTAGTGTGGTGTGTCACGTACTGCTTGCATGTAGAGGTGCAGGTGGTATTCACCTACCTTCCGGCCTCATAGCCGCGCACTACAGAGTGACCGAAGAGCGACACTTCTTCAGCTGCGCACTCGTTCAACTTGCTTATGGCAAGCGCCAGGATCCCGGGAGGGGAATTTACAACGTATCTTTGGAGCAGACGTGCACGGAGTGTAGGAGTGGTAGCACGCGCTGGCTTCATAAGTGAAGATGTCCTACTTTTTGTAAGCGGCGCAATAAAAGCGCCCGCGCCAGTTGAGACTGTCCTGTTCGCATGACCCCTGATTTCAAAGTTTCTACTTCCTCGCTAAACAAATCGGCGTGTTATAAGCTTCAACTTGATTTAGGTCTCTGGTGGCCAACTGAATTCCCTTCAGAATGGAGTGTATGTTCCTATCATGATCTCTAAGGAGAAGGCTTCAAAGGAAATTCAAGTACCGGTCGAGAAGGAAAGTCATGTAAGTATTACTTATTAGTTTTGTCATTTTCCCATTCAAATGGTTGCCTGTAGGTGTCAGTTGCACTGCATAAAATTCTGTTTGTAGAATCCTACTTGGACGAAGGAAACCGATATGATGATCTTGAAGACCTACAACGATGTGGAGGGGGGTGTCGAAGATGTAGTGAAAGAGCTGGTGAAAGTGATACCGTACTCCTTTGCGGATATAGAGAAAAGGCTGAATTTCCTAATTTCTCTTTTTTGAATGTTGGGAGAAAGATGTGAAAACCATACGCTACTATTATGAGAGCATGGCTCGCATGCTCACTTCCCTAAATACAGGTCCAAATGCTTTACTTCATTGTACTCTCGTGTATATAACGATAATTAGAGGGAAGTTGTTCTTGTATGCTATTGATCTCAGTAGTCAGATTTCTGATTACATCTCTTGGATATCTTCTGGTTCATGTACGATCTCTTCGAAAGTCGTGACTCACTTGTTTAATGGCTCTAGAGTTATAACTTGAAGTCATCATATAACAATATCATCGCTGTAAAGTGACCGTCTTGACTTGGGACTTCCGTTACTTGTCTCGAGTCGATCTTATATGACTCAGGCTTAGTAATATACCGCACAGTCCTATCCATACCGTCTTACCCGCACCTCAGGGGTGATAGCCGCGGGTTAGTCAGCATCTAATAAACGAAGTAGAGTGCTCTCCGTCTGTTAAATACTTTTTCCTTGTCTTTTGATCGTGAATTGCTTTTGTCAACCTTTGCTCTTTATTTTATAATAGAGATTTTATATCCACTTTGAAGACTGCTTATCATTGCCAACTTTTATGGATTGTACCTGTAAAATTTCACTAAAATTCGTCAGCGAGAAACATTTAATGTTTCTGCTGACAACCACTCTTGGCATGTCACATTCTTAACTTTGGACTCTCACTTTTGCTGTCACCTACTATGGCGGCGCTTCAACCTTTTCCTTTTCTTTTTAATTTTATAACAGATGACTAGCTTTATATTAAAACTTGTTGTACATATATGAACTCGGATGTTTTTATTAATAAACTCTACACGAGTCGTACAGAGCTTGTTACAGCGGAAACTCGGTTGATGGTATTTCTTCTTGGTGAGTGCTCTGAGAGTAGGTCAAGAAGTACCGCTTGACGAATACTGTGCCATAGCGCGACAGTGCTGCCAAGGTTGAGGTTATGCATATTGTAGCTCCTGAAATGGAATCGGTTGACTGGATTATTATCTGTATTTGTCGGGTCAACTTTTTGTGCTTAGTCCGCATATGGGGTGCGAAACATTCCCTATATAGTCTTGTTCGCTGCGGACACCGGGGTGTGTCAGGGGTCTGTATTGGCGCGGCATCAGCCTGCTCTACCAAATTCAGCTCACTTATACACCTCAGGATCTACCTATAGGGAGACTAGCTTTTATGCGTATGTATTTTCGCCCATAATTGTACATTTTACGGACGATTTTTTCTCCGCGCAGAAGGTAGGTACCACACCTAAAAATGCCACAACTTACCTAAACGTTTGTAGTGCGTCGCAAGCATCGTTTTTTCCATGCCGTATCTGAGGAGCATTTCCTGGTAAGGCTTCACAACAAGGATGTTTGTAGTGACAAGAGGCGCCATTTACAACGCGCATCATCCAGGGCTAGATCCCGTTTCGTTTACTGCCTCGGCTAGCCAAACCAACTGTTTGGGACCGGTGACTAGAGTTATACCCGTACGGCGAGAGAATGTAGTTCAGGGCATCCGAAAAGCGGTATCATCTTGAACTAGCGTTTCTAGCTAGTTGGCTGACAGTATTTTGGCGTTGAACTAGTGATGCCATTGCAGCATAGATCTTTGACCAATTGGCGCTAACGTATACTGGCAGAAGCAAGGCAATGTACAGCGCCTGCTCTATCCCTTCCGTCCAAATTAAGGCTAGCTTTGTGAATAGTGGAAACTATGTATTTTCTCTATATTCTAGTCTCCCTTCGACGACGTTGGTCATTTGCGCTAGACAAATACTCTAAATTCACCTCCTGTCAAAAGTACACGCGAAGGGGCTATACGGTAGTGAGACCCAAGTGCCACCTTCATACTCGAATCGCGCAGTCACACGCCAGACCATAGCCAAATGCGCTACTCATCTGCGCCCTCTCACTTCAGGTTGTTCTCTACTGCTGAGCGCATGTTTCGCTGAAGGACCTTAGTATCGACGCAAGTACTGCACATTGAGGATAGTTCGAGCGGTGTATGGATACACCAGGGTAATCCACCCCCCAGCATCGTCGTGGCACCTTTGAGCGGAGAACGCAGCCTTACACCTTTTGCGGCGCAGATTCCCGTCCTTCATAACATCCGTCGTAAGCGCGCGTGTCGCGTGCGGCTCCTTGGCACTTTGCCAAGTCCTTTAATTGCGCTCTCAAATAAAACGCAATTTCCTGATGCGGATAACATTGGAGGTGCTACAAAATAAGAACAGAAGATGATGACGAGGGTCAGAACTCAAGAGCAACTCGGCTGCATCTGCAGTATCCATCAGAGGCCGCGCATTCCCACAAAACAGAATAAAAACAGCCCAAGCGTCCCACTCGTTTGTTCTAAGTATTTCTATGGCTTTGGCGCCGGATTCGCGCCGGATCGTAGAAATTTACAGGCGATTTTAACTAATTTGCCTTTCCTTGATTTTTTCATTTTTGTTTTATTTACATTTACATCGTTGTGCTTCATTTCTAGCCTGTGTCATCTTCATCTCCTTGTACATGGATTTTGAAGCATGAGCAACACCTAAAATTTTATTCGCATCAGGAAATTGCGTTTTGCTTGTATCAAACTAACGAGTATGCCGTTTTTATTTTCATGTTTCGTGGAAATACGCGGCCTCCGAGGGATGTTGCAGAAGTGGCACAGTTGCTTTTAAGTTCTGACCCTCGTCATCATCTTCTGTTCTTATTTTGCAGCACCTCCAATGTTATCCGCATCAGGAAATTGCGTTTTACTTGTATTTGAGAGCGCAATTAAAGGACTTGGCAAAGTGCCAAGGAGCCGCACGCGACACGCGCGCTTACGACGGATGTTATGAAGGACGGGAATCTGCGCCGCAAAAAGGTGTAAGGCGGAGCATGGAGGAATTAGCGTGTTTCACGGTCCTGTATCTCCATTCCTGGGCATGTTTGGGCGGGGGACCACGACACATCGACAGCTGGGGGCTGATAGTCTCATACACCCTCAATGTGTGTGAGCGTACTATGTGTCTTTGAAGACACTTCCCGCGATCAAGTGATTAGCAAAATACCTCCGTGCATTTGGCATCGTTATCCGCACTCGCAGAGAATGTACCACTTTGTCACTGGCTAGATAAAGAAGCTAGAGACGCGTGAGTTTTGCAACCCGGTGCAACCGCGTACTGTAACTCTGCAAGACAACGGCTTACAAGCGGAATTGCGTGTGTACATAGCGTTGCCTGGAGCGTCGTAGGGCGATTTCCTATGCTCTTGCCGGGAAATGGTTGCACCTAGAATCCTGCTGATTGGGCTTGTCCTCATGATGAACTCGAAGGCGCCGGCCCCACTGCTAGGGGAGTCTGTGCTCAGGGTGTTCCCAAATTTTTTTCGCTTCTTTCTCTACTGATGAGTTTTGATGGGCTACTGGTTCATGACTGAGCACTGCTACCTGTTACACTTGGTCGCGAGTCACCTCTGTGTCCTTTCTCAAGCTAGAGCTGAAGTTCATGGTTAGTAGCAACAACGTCTTCTCTGAGAGTCAATTTTTCATCGTTTTTTGTTGGCTGCGCTTTTAGCTTAGGGAAATGCATTGCATTTGTTAGAGAAATGACACATAGATGCGGCCGAGTAGTACACTTCTACCTTCTTACCTCAGTCCCCATTTATTTTAACGCTCGCTATCCATTCACGGCTTGATTGCAAAAGCTCGACAATCGGTGACCTGCTTTTCCAGAGCCCAGCATTCGATGGGGGTGTGGATTTGTCGAGCTTACGACCCCCCACCCCCCCCCCCCTTTTTTTCAGGGCTGGTACGACCCCCCCCCCCCATGCTCGTACGATGGCTGACATGGCTGACTGTGGTTGTGGTTTATACTCGGCGAAAAAGTTGTCGAGCGGGGGGGGGGGAGTACATCCCAGCCCAGAATGACGACCTCACCCCACTAGGGAATCCCCAACCAATCGGTGACCTGCTTTTCCCCATTTCAACTATTGAAGTTTGCTCGAGAATCACCGTGGGGAAATAGCAAGCGCCTTCTGCTCTTTCGGCACGACGAATGCATTCAATGATCTATTCCCAGGGCGTAGAGATGACCAGTCTAATAGGGTCAAGAAGGTTCTCTAATGATGTTGAAGGGGTGATTGACAAGGGAGTCTTTCACGCCCATTCTCTTTTTCTGATGTGATTATGGTAAAGGAGATTACTAGTTACCTGAGAAATTCCCGGTCATTGATCGGCATGCCTTTGCTGGTCGCATACATGTATAAAGGACGATCCTGTGTAAGCGCGGAAGTGAATACAATGTAGGAGACAATCAGCAGCAGCGTAAAAAATAATCGTCTCAACATCCTGTGAGCTGAAAGCGACTTATTTTCGGAACCACTTGTACCGCACGAACAGCACTTATTATGGCGTGAGTGTGTAAAACATTGTAGATCGCAATGAAAAACATTATTTCATGTTACCATATTATTTGATGTAACACGCTGGTAAGAGAAGAGGCTGGTTAGATGCATTGTTTATTTATTCATTTATTTATTTATGCGTGCAATAATGCGCCAGAGGGACATCAGTGTCCATGCAGATAACAAGTACAAATGGGTGGATAAATAGACACGATAGAGGGAAGATAAATAGGGAAAAATAAAAAACAGAGAACGAACAGAAAAAGAGGGAAACATGAGGAATCATCATGCGTAAATATGTATATTGACAAAGTAAGACTATTGCGGTTTCTTTGTCTTATTGTTAGTCTATTTTGATGCGGCATCCTATAGCATTGTAACCATTTCTAGGTATTACAGGCCGTCACATGTGGGCGTAATTGTAATTATAATTCTCCGGGAATACACCAAAATATTTTTATTGGTATTCTTATACCCTTATTAGAATACAACAACAACAACAGAAAATTTGCGATATGAGCTCTGGCGTTATAATGAAGGAGGTGTGAGGAAACTAGCGATCCTCCCTTTCCCAGAAATGGGGAGATTGGGAGTTGAAGAAGAAGGCGACTTTGCTACTACTGT